TACTTCATTATAAACAAATAATATCTTCTGATAAGTTTCGACAGTTTGATTACGGACCGATCCAAAATTTAAAAGTTTATAACAGTTTAACACCTCCTGATTACGACACGTCGAAAATTTCAGTACCTATAGCATTATATTATGCTGAAAACGACTWTTTTTCGGATGTTACGGTAAGTAATTTGTATCAAAACGTTTACGAAAAAAATTCTTTATTGTTTATTCWGTTTTATTTTTATTTCAGGATGTTCTTCGTTTATCGAATGAATTAAAATATCTCGMGGATAATTATAAGATACCATTTAAAAAATTTAATCATTTTGATTTTCTTKTTGGTATTGATGCACCAAGGTTAGTTAACGATAGAGTAGTTCAAACAATGAAACGATATACAAATGAAGTTTAAGGTAATTGTTAAATTTTTCAAGATTTTAATAATAATAAGACAATGTTTTTATGAATTAATATTTATCGAGCATGTGTAAAGATATAAAGATAATCTTATGATGATTTAATTGTATTTCTTTTTACTATTTGTTTATGTGAATGTTAAATAATTTGATAATTATATATTATAATATTTTTTCTTATATTAAAATTAAATTTACAGAAGAGATTGGGGTAAATTGATATTGAGATAGACTGATAAAATATAATTATCTGGACATTGCGGTTAATATACATGTTTTTGTATTATATTTAAGGAGGGAGGGGTAAGGTTAATTCGTACAAAAAAAGGCACGTTCTTGTAAAGTTTTTGTGACGACATAGTTAAAATCTCCTTATTAATACCAATGGTACATTAAAGTATGACATTCGAAGAATATTGTACAAAATTTTCACGAAGAAATATTAAAAAATACGGCAATGGCAGCAATTATTCGGACGTGTATCGGAAAAAAGTAGAATTGCGGTGCCCGTCATAACTTAGTGCAGGATCATTTGAAATAAAAAAATCAAAGTTCATTCGTTAGATAATAGTTTTCCCCAGGTAACTCTAGGGAGGTTTTTCGAAATTTCAATTTTTCACTTTTTTGGAACACTTTGAAGGGAAAAAAACCGATTTTTTGCGAAAAATTGGCTAATTTGTTATTGTAAAATAAAAATTATTAACAAATTTGAAAAAAATCTTCAGCATTACTTCGTAAATTATGTACAGAAATAGTGTTCAAAATTTCAAAAGGATCGGTGCAGTAGTTGAGGGGCACCGCAATTCTACTTTTTTCCGAGACACGTCCGAATAATTGCTGCCATTGCTGTATTTTTAAATATTTCTTCGTGAAAATTTTATACAATATTCTTCGAATGTCATACTTTAATGTACCATTGGTTTTAATAAAGAGATTTTAACTGTGTCGTTACAAAAAACTCACAAAAACATGCCTTTTTTTGTACGAATTAACCTTACCCCCCTTAAATTATTATGTTTCATTTATGTATATATGGGATTAGAGAACATATTTTTTCGTATTTTTTTGTTAGATTGTTTTAAAGTAGTACCATTCTTATAATAATAATCGAAAAAAATAAAAAATTWGACATATTTAAAAATATTATTACAAAAAAGGAAGAATACGATTTAGTCTGTTTAAAAAAAAATCGTTTAATGTTTATGGAAATACGTATATATAT